AAAATACATATCGATCAGAAATATAAAATTAGGCGAGACTTACGAACAAAATAAATTCTTTATTCTGTATTCCGATTTACTCTCTATATGTGCAATACAAATCTTGTCAAACTTATTGTGACGGTAAACAATTCATGTAATTTTAAAAAACCGCATCTGTTCTATTATGATAATAAGCATTTGCATCTTCTCTTGTAATTTCATATAAAAAACAATAATGCAATAAACTGAAATAAACAAAACATCAATGTTCTAAATATGTAGTCAGTCCCTGCCGTGTGCAATTTCAATGATTTAACCAATATTATAAATTGCTATTAAGCTTTTACTATAACTAGTTGCCATATACTCTCACAGATCTCATATATTAAAAAATTTGGATATCAAATATCCATTAATCCTTCTATATGTCTGCATCACTCGCAATTAAATCCGATTTTCTGAAACGTTATTTAATTTTTTAATATCCAAGTGACACTGAATTCAATTTCACTTTACAACTTAATGAATGTAGTACAAACATACATGTATGGTTTCAGCAGACAATTCCGGACAATTTAAGTAAAAAGACACCTAAATATCTTTTATACCATTAGAGAATTGCTTGCGATGTAGATGGTGGTGGATTAGTTGGCAATACAGGCACTGGGCCATCTGTCCAATGAATAAGGGAGTGTTCGCTCATTTGAGTACTCTGAAAATGGTCTTTCAAAAGAGTTTGAGAGAATGTGCAGTGCATTTGATATGCCTCATTCTCGTGAGTGGGATCACCACAAATTCTATACAAATCTGTAACATTTTATTTATATATGTATAGTCAATCAAAAATTCATTATTTCTTTCTTAATATACTGCATATACCTTTTAGGATAGCAGTAGCCCATAATTGTACATGTACATCAGGTATCTTAGAAGCTAATTGCATCGCAGGTGTGACCATATTCATCGACTCTCTGCTATTTCCTAAAGAAAGAAATATATGCCCCAAAAGCACGAGACTACAGGAAGTGAGTCTGTTCAAGTCTTCCGAATTTGCCATTTTTAAGGTTTCTCTAAGATATCGCCTAAAATCACATTTGTATGTCTATATTGTATTGTTTTCTATTGTTGAGATTTTTTTAAACAATAAAAATCAAGTTGTCATATCTTTCATTCTTTCTTACTTTTCAAGAAATTAAATTTTCAAGTTTCACATTCCAATTAGGACATATATAATAAATCATAAAGAAAAATTCTACATACTTTGCTTCATTGTATCTAGCACCGAAGAAAGCTTGGAGTCCTTGTACATAATATGCAGCTGCCCTCAAGGAATGAGAATGGGATGGTAGAGATTCTGGATTTATCCTTTCTAATAACGCTCCTAATTCGGCGTCTCTTTTTGTTCGAAGATATACTATTGCTAGATTCAAATTCGCGAACGTCCATAATTCTCTCTCTTGTGACGTCTGAAAAAATACAGAATAGTCTTTCTTAACTTGATTGTTATTATAGAGAATTTATATATTTGATGTTACGGGTATATATGTGTAAAATTCAATTAGTAATGAAAATAAAAAAAATAAATATTTAAATATACATAAACAATAAAAGTAATTATACAAAAATATACAATGCATATAAAAAACATTAAATTATTTATTATGATAATTACGATGTGATTCTATTTTCTTACTCTGAGTGCAGCAGTGAACTGAGCCTCTGCAGCTTCCATACAATTCATAGACATTGCGTATAAACCTAGTAAAACATGTAGTTGTGGTCTATGGCCCTGAAGCAACCTAGGTTGTCGCCTGCACAATTGACAAGCTTGAGAAATTTCTGCTAGAGCCACGCTCTTGTTTCCCATTACAAGCCGACACATGATTATATGTTCCAACAGCATTAATTGAAACACGGACAAAATCGGTTTATTATCGATAACTGTAAAACAATAAAAAAAGATAGAAGATTTAACTTAGATCAAAGTATCAAATTAAAATAAATAAATTAAAATAAAAAATAAATTAAAATAAATATTTTGCAAACAAAATATGAGATGAAAATAAGCTTTTGCTTTGACTTTCTCATTTTAATTGTAGATGCCTATACGTTTAATATATTCAAGTGCAAAAAATGTGCATATCACATATTTCTTCCACAAATATATAATCAACTTGTCTTGGAAATTTTCATTACCCAATACATAATATGAAAATATTTTGAAATATAAGTTTATAATCGTCGAAAAAGCTTTTGACCGAGTTTTGAACTTACAACTTGTTGATTATGAGTCAATCGTTTTTGCAAAGCGCCAAATCATCTCATGTAGAATTAAAATCAAACAATAGTCAATAAATCGGATTTATCTTGATTCCATATACAAAATAGCTCAAAATATTATAAACTTTTCTTAGAATTTATTGAAAATAATAAAATTTGTTTACAATTTATTAGGACCTATTATGTAATATAGGCCCTAATTAAATTACAATTTCTAATGTTTTGATATAAACTTCACAATCGTTTTTGTAGAGATAAAAAATTGAATTAGTTAATGAGTTCAAAAATATGTGATTTCATTAAAAAAAAAAATTGAGAATTAATTCATCTATTGTTTCTCTAGTAAATTAGCAGTGATATCCTATTTATCATATCCTAAAATATCCAGAAAAAATTTTGTTGTTATTTCTAACAGATTCCGAGAAAAAAGAACTTATATTTCACATGAATCATTTTGGATAATCTTGTTTTATAAAAGATCAATTAAAGTTAAAAATGCTTGAATAAAAGTATAAGATCCATTTTGAGAATAAATTTAATATAAGAAATAAATACAGAAGTTATTTACGGGATATGGCAGACACTTACTTTTGAGTTTCTGTATTTGACTAAGCGCCTTGTCAGTATATTTCTGTGCTTTATCCATATATCCAGCTTGCATAGAATGCATGACAGTTACTAAGTAAACCAGAACATACAGATGGTCTTTTGGCATCCATATAAACATATCTCCAATATTGGAACCTGTGACCACATCGTCTGCCGGCCAGCTAGGCGACATTATAGTTTGTATACTTTGTTGAAGTTGTTTCAAACATGGTTTCACGCTTTTTACCTATTAAAAAATTGCAAAAGATAGTTCATTATCATTAGAATAATATATTTTATATTCTTTTTTAATAAATCATAATGCTATGACCATAATACAGTGACTAGTCTTACCTGGCCTGCCATAAGATAGTGACATACTTGAAGAACTAAAAAATAGACTTTCAGATACTCTTTTTGATGTGGGTTACCCTGCCAAGTCTCTACATGATGGCCCGCTGAATTTAAAAGAGGATGGACTTCTGTAAATTTTTTATCTATCAGCAACAACATACACCGACTTAGAAGAAATAGAACTCTGGTATAACTGGCATTGCTTATGTGAGAATAATCAACGCCCACTGCGAGCAAGCTACTCGCTGCAACAAAATCCTTCTCCGATGCATGAATTTGCTGTAAATTTATAAATTATTATGATTACATTATTTTCCTAGAGACTTAACATTAAAGTTGTAAACTAATTACAACTCATTTAGTTATGTTTTAAAAATTGTAAAAGTAGTATTTATTATTTCATTTCCAGTTGCAGAACAATTAAAATTGTGATTGTTTGATCCAATTCCTATTCCAGCAATTATGAGCGCTTTTACGATTTTTAAAATGTAACTAGATGAAATCGTAATAAATCTGCGTAATAAACCTCATTGCAAATAATTGAATGTTTAGAATATATGAAGTTAATGTCAATGAACCTACCGCAAGTTGGAAAATAAGCCTACAGTGCCAGTAGACATTGTGCTGAGACAGTTCTATCGCCTTCCTCAGTATAGGTTTACTCAGATTCGGCTGTTGCTGTTGCTCGTACAGCTCAGCGACGACGCTGGCCGCCTCGAACTTCACATCGTCAAACGTATTTATATTCTGACTCAGCCGCCACTATAAAGAAAAACAATCGAGAATCATTAAGAAAATCATCAAAGGCGACAGCGGCCTCGATTGACATTGACGGCTTTCCGTTAACCGCGACTGACGTAACGCTTGACGCGTACTATTTGTTGTCATCGTGCGTTCCGAGGTTAGGTTAGGACGGGCAAGTCGCACAGATCGCGGGGCAAAGGGAGGGAGAGGGGGAAAAAATGGAACAATGAGACGCACAGATAGGGGAGGGAGGGAAACGAGGTTAAAGACGAGTTTGACAACGAGGGCGAGAACGGGATGGACGACTGACCGCTTGATCTAGGTGGGATCGCGCCAAATCGATGTTTTTCGTGTGCGTAAGCAGGATGTTGCCGAGCTGAAGATGAGTGCGCGCCTCGACGCGCGGCGGCGGCTTGAAGTGGAAGACCGCCTGCAGACACTGGATGCACGACTTGATGTTGGGCGGACTCGACGTGCGAAAGTTTTCGGCGAGGCCGAGCAACGAGAGATACCAAGCGTCCTGAGAAGACGCCATTTTAACATTTCACCACACAGACCGAGCGAAGCCAGACGAGCTCTCTCCAAGCGATACACAAACCTCCCCTTCCCCTCTCGGCGGCGGCGGCGGCGACGGCGGTGGCGGATGGTGAAGGTCGATCCTAGCGACCTCTGCCTCGGAGTGGTGGCTACGCACGAACTAATCCGCGACCCCCAGAGGTAACCCATCCCTAATTCCATTTTTGTCAATGTCTCTTAATTTTTAATGTCTCTTAATTTTATTTACTTTTTATTCTTTTCTAATTCTTAGAACTTCTTAGAAAAAGATAAAAAATGAGTTAAAATAAGATTAAAGTTAATCTATATTGGTAGAAATAGACATTAGGGCAACTTTGATTGAATTCGATTAGAATTGCTTAATGCAAACTATTTTAAATTTTTTAATTTGTTGTCTCTTATCTTTTTCCACACATTAAATAAAGAAAGGTTAATTATTTTAGCCAAATTAACAAAATAATATTGTTCAATAATTTGATCACTGATTAATTTAATCGACATTTCTTACAGCGGAATTTCTGATTTATTGTTTATAATCTAATATGTGTATACAACAATATTGCAACAACATTGTAACGTTCCTACACTATACTGTGGAATACTGAAAATATTCTGTGTTGTATAGAAATTTTTTTTCCATACATCAAAAGATAAAAAATCAGTAATTTTATTTTAATGAAATATTAATTGTCGATTAAATAAATAAAATAAATAAAATTTAATCAAAGTTTTATCTTAAACAATATAGAAAGTTAGATCCTTCTCTTTATTCGTCTATTTTTTTCGCAATAATAAGAATTTTATATATATCACTACACAGTCTCAGAGAAAAGTATTAGAGAGATTATTAATTATTAAATATAATAATCGTCAAAGTCATAAGTAAGATGTATAAATCAGTATATAATTTTTACTTTAATTATATTTTAAGTTTGCTTTAATACTAGACATATTAAATATATATATAATATATAAAAATAAATAGCAAAATATAAATTACATAATAAATTTACAAAAAATGGTATATTAGCAAAATCTCAATGGAAATAATCTTCTTGCTTCGATAAGACATTAATGAAAGAAACATATATGTATTAATTCGTGTAAGCATAAAAAAAAATGAAACGCAGGATCAAAAATATTTGCAGTCTGCCTGCATTACGCAATCGCGTAAAGCGCGTTCTTATTTCCATTAGACCGAGCAAATTCCACGTTTATGCGGCATATACGAGATGATGCTTTTCTACGTCGATGTGGGATATCCCCACCAGGTAGTCAACGAGTACCGAGTTCCCGGCCAGTTGCTGACTATCAGTTGCAGTCGGCAGTTTCGAATCGCGCGGAATCGAACGCGCGAGCTCGAAGATCTTTCTCTCCTCTCTTTCTTTTTTTTTTTTTCTTTCATCTCGCGATGTCCTCCGACCGGAGCGTTCCTTTCGCATTCCTCTTCTGTTTGTTCGCGGTTCTATCACCACGTGGAAGTCACTGCGCCACGAACGTCACCAACATCGCGGAACAGGTCCAGGCGGAGAACGCCCTTGCGAAACTGGTGAAGATGTTCTCCAAACCGGGCGCATTCAAGAGGGTAAGTCGGAGGACACCGAGCTCGATTAAAGTTAAAATTATTTCAAAATTGTAATGTTTATACATGTTATATCAATCGTTATTGTCCATCTGTTAAAATATTCAATATTTTTATTATATTTTTATAATCATTCGAAAACGTCTGCGCAAACTCTCGCTCTTAAAATATTATATTTTTCCGATAAGCTCTTGTGACATTAAAGTCTTATAATAAAATTATTATGGATAATGCGATGGAGATAACGAAGTATTTTTATCCTTGCCATTTTCGATAAGCTTGATTTATATATACAATCAAGTTTGCCAAAGATGGCAACGACAAGTATACTTCAATTGCATCCTTCAGATTACATACAATAATTTTATTACAAGGTTTCAATATTATAAGATTTTATTGGGAAAATATTTTAGTGCGAGAGTATGTACAGTATGAGAGTATGTACAGACAATCTTGAGTGATTGAGAATATAATATTAATCATTATTGCTAAAAATAGCAACAAGTACATTCGATTGTCTCCTTCGGATTATGATAATTTTATTAAAACTTTTTGATACATATATGATATGTGTGTGTGTGTGTGTGTATGTGTGTGTGTGTGTAGTAATTTAAAATTTTTTAATATAAATTTATCATATAATATATCATATAATATATCATATAATTTTATTAATACAAATCTTTTAATAAAATCATAACTTGAAGAAAACAATCAAAATGTACTCGTTGTTATTTTTAACAATTTGTGATTATATATTTATGATCACAGATATCAATTTTATCATCAGATTACCAAGTTTTCATGTGCGTGACGAACAATGCACTCTTGATTTTTTTACATTTTAAAAAAAATCATGAAGAGAATATTATTCGTTGACCGTATCAAAAACAGCAAACTTGGTGTCCCGGTGGTGAAACCACTGTCCGGTTTCTCCCTTTCTGTGTTTCCCGAATCGAATTTATAATTCCGAACAGATCGTCTCGTGATGCAATCGCGTCGCATGAGAGACAAACGCGCACAGCATACAAGGAGAAATAATCACGAGTGCCTCCCATTACGTTGTCCGTAATAACAAACGCAACGTGAACCCTCTTTATATACGACGCGTAGGGATGTCTTTCGCTAGAAAGATCCAAATTCAAACCACATATCCTTTTAGTAATTTCACTTTTGTCCTTCCCTTATTTCAATTTTTAACATTAACTATTAATTTCAAATCTTTCGCGAGAATGCCGGATCGATGGTTTTCGAGATGCACTGACTGATTAAAAAACGGACTTTCCTGAAGCAGGGAAATTTTCTAGCAATTGGGAGCGCGATGCGGTAAAGGATGTAAAAAAAAAATCCCACCGACATCCAGTGAGTTAATTGATGATTAACATTCGCCGTCGAAATGAGAGTTTCGTAACTCTGCGAGCGTCCGCAACGGAATTCCACGCCTAGATAGCGATATGATGATGAAATATTTTCAGATTGATGCGATACTCGGCGAGAATACTATCGAGGCATCGTTCTCCAACTGTCCCATGGGGGAGGAGGGCCTGGAGTGTCGGAGAGCCGAAGCACGCCGATCCGTCGACTGTCCGCGAGGTAAATCCTCGTAGCCGCCCGGAATCTGACCGCATTGCGATCCGCACACGGTACCGCTAGCGAGCTTCCTCGCTATTGCGAAAAAAAAAAAATACATCGCTATTCGCTCTTTGACAATAGAGATTCTGACCTTGACAGTAGCCGCTCCCAGATGACTATGTTCGCCGACGCAGCGCGGTGTTGATATCTCGTCTCGCATCTCGATGCAACGAAGTATTACGGATATATGAATTTGCTAAAGTATCTTAAAAATTTGGCCGGAAACAGAAAATCTGAAAATAATCTTCTTGGGTCATCGAAATAATTATACTGGGATAATTATATCGCAAAAATTGTTGATACTCTAGCAACCAATCTGAACGTTCTATATAAATATTTTGATCCAACAAAATTATTTTCAAATTTCTATAGCAAATTTTTACACAGTTTTCTTTCCGTATTGTATTATTACAAGCTATTAGAGCGTTACCTAATTTAATAATAATTAAATTTAATTTTAATTAAACTAAAAAAATAGAGCAGTCTCGAGCGAAATAGCGAAATTAAAATTTACACGGTCTAGAATTCTCCAAGTAATTGCGAAGTGACGTGTTGACGTGACAGTTTGACGCAAAATCTTGGAGTGTTACTTAAATTAAAATTAAATATAATTAAATATAATTTTAATTAAAATTTTAAAGAGAAGGCAAATTTGACGGGATTCTAAATAATTAGGATGATTGCTTGACATTGGCAGAAAAAGAGAGCGCCGCTCTTTTTTCTAGGTCTACATTGCGTATCGCACCTTTCTCTACCATAATGAATTTAAATGAGAAAGATTTAGTTCGCAGCGAGTCATTACTCGCACGAAATCTCAAGCAGGTTTTTACATCGGAAGGCGATATCGACCGATTGTGCGAGATGAGATATCAAAGACGAATATACAAACGCACGGGAGATTCTCGGAACGGAACATCGTAGAACATGTAACACTTGCCGCGTCTCGTCATCATCGCTTGAGAAAGTCTAATTGCCATAACTGAGTGACACACACGTTACATGCGAGCACTACTTTCGAGTAACGCGTTTAGATTAGAACGCACGAGAAATACGACAGTGATTCTCAAAGATGATCAATCATATCGCATGCGAGCGAAAATGCGAGTAGACGAAATATTTCAGAACGATCCGAGAAGATTACGTACCGACTATACAAAATGGGAACTAAACTGGGAAGTTAGGAATAATGCATCTCTTTTTATTTTATCTGTTGGACCTAATTAAAAGCTCTATTCTTAATTTATGATAATCGCGTGCGGTTGAGAGACAGAGTCTTGCAAATATCACTGTTGCAAACACATGTGCAACCAGTTCCTGAATAAAAGAATACGACGCGTGCGATATTTCAGTCGGAATATTTTTAATTCATATTATTTTTTCTTTATCTTATTCTACGTTCTTCGCAATAATCCGCGCGATTATGGTTCGCATCGTATCTTTACGTCACAGATTCGCAAGCGCGCTTTACGACATGGTGTAATACGATACGAGATATACAACTGGTAAGAGAAAGTAATATGGTGAGAGCATCGAGAAGCAAATCGTTCGTAAATACGTGGTTTTTTTAACTGCGCGACTGAAATGTAAAATTAAAGCTTTAGATTTAAATATCGTCCTAAGAAAGTTACAAGAAAATGCATGCACGCGAAAAATGATCTTTTGCAATATACAAGTAAATGTAATTTAATACCACCTTGAGCAAATCGAGTTAAAAATCTAATATTAATCAAAAATGCTTTCACATAGGCAGAACTTCTAAAATATTCTCAATAAAAACTTTTCCATACGAAAAAGTATAAATACTAATTTCAAATTATAAATTTTTTTTTATTCCGCCAAGTGTGTTTTAAAAAATAGCAAAACATTTGGATGATTTTCATGAGAAAAAATTTCCTCACATATTAACGTGGAGAGATAGGCGAGCAAACCATTTACTTAATTAATTAATGTCCTTGTTGAAACGCGGAAGCTGCTTATCGCGTTTCACAAAGATAAGAGAGATATTGACGAAATCGAGTGAAATCGAGAAATTGCAGTTTAAGTCAAAATTACCGATATCAATACCGGGTCTTGATCCTGAAATGCATTTCCATTGCAGGAGACTGTTTCTGTTACGATTGCGCCGCCGCCGGGCCCGACTTATGGGCCTCCTGTTGCCGTGAAAGCTTGAGATGTTGCTCTCATCTCGCGGCAGCCTGCAGGACGTGCGATCATCCGACGCTGTATCCCTTTTGCGCCAAACACTTCAAGAAATGCCTGTCGCAGTATAACGAAAAGAAGCAGAATTAGTCACCGGGATTTCTTCGGCGATGTCTCGACTGTGATAGTTGTGTTTTACCATGACGATCGATGATCTTGAAATGTGTGACTGGTCTCCCCCTCCCCGCCCATGAAATTGTTCAAGTTTATAACAACGGCCACTCTGGCCGAATATTACTAGCGTATACGCGAGACATTTAAACTTAATCGTATTACACATTGCACAAGTCAAGTTTCACGCCGTTACTTCTAAATATAGCATTTACCCTCGTTAAACTGGTCCAACCTGATTGTTTCTGACTCCAACTTTGTTGTTGAATGAAGATTTTAATTTTGTAATCCTGATTGTACCTGAAACTTGACATCGTAAATTCAAAAGCAATTATTTATGAAAAATATTATTTACAATAATATAATTTTTCCTTAAACAAAAAAAAATTCTTTTAGTTCTTCAAATTTGTACAGTGTATAAATTAAAGCCTGTTGTAATCAAACCTGTAAAATATAACTATAAAAATTGATGCGTATTGCGGAGAACGCTTCTGCAAATTTATATTTACCTATCAACTTACTTTTTTAATTATTTTAGTCTAAATATTAATTGTTAATTAATTGTATACTCTATAGAATTTATACGCTTTTGAAAAAAATATATACAACTTCTATAAAATACAAAAAATTTGCAGGTTTATAGATCTATACATATCGACATTTTGATAAATAAATCGGTAAAACTCATACATTGTACGTTCATAAATTTCAAATACATAGGTTCATATACTACCAGCATTTTATTTTTTTAGATTCTTGGCAAGACACTGAATAATTAAGGAATAATTATAACAGAACACACATAATTTTGGATTCGCTGTTAAACGGATTCCTTAACAGTATCAACAAAAGTTTGGCAGATGCAAATTAAAAAAAAAAAAAAAAAAAGAAGAAACAAAAACGAAAATATAAGAGATAAATAAATATCACCTTTTAATACAATCATTTTGGTAAGCTTTATTCGTATAGTTTCCAGAGTATTCGGTAATCTTTATTTATCCACTAATTCTATAAATTGGGGACAACGCTTTTCATTCGGACAAACGTTCCAAGATCGGTGTATGAATTTCGCAATTTCTTTTTGACAAAATAAAAAATGTGCGCACATGTCACGCAGTCTTCAACAGTTTAATATTCATTATTACGAAATATTTGCGTCCCCATAAAACGCGCGGCCAAAGTCGACTCATATTTTTTTCTTTCTCTTTCATTTTGCGAACGCCTTAGAATTCTAGTTCTGTTAAATATTCGCCATCCCTCGTTTCTGTCGTGTAGCGAAAAGAGAGTTCCTTTTTTTTTAGGATATAAAATTCTCTCGCACTTTGAAAGTGCATAATTGCTAACAGCACCACACAGAGATTAAAGAGAGACAAGACTAGAAAAGAAGAATAGAAAGAAATATATATTCTTTTTGTTTGTGAGAGACGAGACGCGATCTGATTACCAAATAAGATGCACTCAATCTATTTGAAGATGATGCAAATGATAATGATGATGACGATTTGCTCTTTATCGAATAAATCTCAAGGGAATCATACATCAGGTATATCCTCACGCCGTTAATTTCGTAGAAAAAAAAAATAAAAAATATTTTATGTCATTCATTTATATTAAAAAAAAATTCAAATTCAAGTCCCTATATTTTTTGTTATTATGAAATATTGCAAGCGCGCGTGATTACGGAATTGATCGTTATTTCCAAATAGTTTTAAGTAAAACCTTATTGACTTTCAAAAATTAATTTTCAATTTTTAAGTTAAATAATTTCTAAGAACTAAATCGATAAAAATCAAAAAAAGTTCGTAACAAATGTATTTTAACTACTGTTTATTTGAAGAGCAATGTTTTTACTTAAAACAGCTTGGGAATAGTCGACTTGGAAAGTCTTTAATTATCAAAATTATACAAAATATTGCTCGGTTCTCTCGGGGAAGTACGTTCAAGTTTTTAAGAATCTCTCCTCTTTCATGTTGTCATTCTATTTCGCTCCCGGATCTCATCTTAGGATAACGACAACAACGACGACGGTAGTACCCCGATGACGGTAATTAGTTGACGACATATTATTACGTTTTCTCTTACACAAAAAACACAGATCTTGATCTATTATGCGATCGTAGACTTATTATGGTGTACATGTATATCAAGTACGAGTTCAAAATCTATCACGTAGTACAAAGAGAGATGATTATGCTATTTTAGTTTATTAAGTTGTATCATATACCGAGAAATATCAAGACTATAGTACTATATATTTAATTGATTCGGAAATGTATGAGACCAAGATCGGTTAGCCCAGAAGTAATGAAATCAGACTATTAGTGGAGAAGGAAGGGGGGGGGGGGAAGAGGACTGGTATTAATGGGGACAAGTGCCGGATACTTTTAACTCGTTCAAGTGCAGACTCGTAGAGGACGTCGTAAAAATCCGGCGGTCGCCGTGTTGTAACAATTCGCAAAAATCTCGATTACGTATCTCCTCTAGTAAGTTTCTTTAAATACTTTTACATCGAATGTGACATGAAATCAATCGCGCTGCATTAACTCGAATCCCGATTATCATTGCAGGTTCATCTGAATAGTTTTTTTTTTTTAACGTTACAACGTTCCAAGTTAAGTCGTGTATGCATCGCCTGAGTGTATGTTTCGCGTAAGACACGAGCCTGACCTAACGTGTGACTTGACGTCATACGAGAAAATCGTATTTGTGCGCGAATGTGACACTCGTGTCGCTCTCCATTTGAAACTCGCCGATGCATACTCCGCCGTATGTCGAGAGAGAAAAAGATTGCTATACATCTCACATGTGCTGGCTTATCATCACTCACACGCGCTTTCTTACAAAGATCATTTTTTCTTTTTCCTCGTATGTAGCTAGTTCTATCTTGCATTAAACTCGCCTTAAAAATACAGTCCGGAGAAAATAATGATATACATACATAGTACAGGTACTGCCGGTGATCGCAAAACACGTTGGAATCAGCGGCAAAAATCGTCTTAACTATCTAAGGGCCTAAAAAGATCCTTTCCATCAACTTCGTTATCTCGTCTCATGTTCGTGCTTTCCCTCCCGGAATTACCCCTATTATTGTTAATAATCCGATTTGCAGTCATTTGCACTTATTATTGATTTATTTAGTGCCTTGTAAATGTCTATTTGGTTCTTTATATTATGTCATATAACAGAGTTGTCCAACTTGCATCACACGAGCATTTTTACTTTATCTCTCATCGTATTAAGAATTCCTTAGAAACACAGTGAAACAAAAGAAAAACAAATAAAAAAAATAAAATAGAATCTTTCTAAATGCACAAATAGATAATTTTTTTTAAATAAAATCTTTTATGCAATAACAAGACAGAATATATAATATGGGACAAAGAATAAAAATGGTATGAGATGTGACTGCTTGCTCACGCTTAGTTAGGCAACTCGTGTTTATTATTTAAGCAATTGCATTCAATATTATAGTATGCTTGTCAATACGCTTAAATTAATTATGTTTATATATCTGTTGTTCAGTGGACAATGTTAACAATATGTTAACGAAATAATAACGTGTGTGTATATGTATATGTATATGTATATGTATGTGTGTGTGTATATATATATATATATATATATATATATATATATATATACACATATACCATATATATACACATACGAAGATGGAAAAAAAGGAAATGAACGGCGCATTTCCAATTCGGGAGAGTTCTGTTAGTCTCCGCTAAACGTTGAATCACTTAGACGCGACGCGATTCCGTATCCCAACTCATACGTACACTGGGTGCATGTTTCGATGACGGAAATAAAACCTTTACCCCTTAGATAACAATAAAGTCATAAACGTACACGTCAATTGACATATTCACAACGATTAATTATTCTTTATACAATACTAACGAATGTCATTTTTCTGACATATTTCAAGTTGAGCTTCATCTTAACTGAAACACTAATGTTGCGATTGGCATAGCGTAGCGTTCAGGCGCACAAAATTACGATCAACTGCACACTTTATTGGATTCTTCCCTTAGCTTTTTTCATCTTCCATTACACAGATTCACTGTTTCATCTATTCGCATTTACTGCTACATCATCCCTTAAATGCGTCCGGTTACGTTTTCCAGTTGTGTGGGTGGGCTCTCGGTGGTGCTTGATTGCCTTGTGCTTGAGACGCTTGCGACGGAATCATGTCGAGCAGATATTGACGTTGAAGATCCGCCGCTTGTCGTTGTAACTCTACGAGGCCTTTACCACCAGCAGCCATCGCTAATTGATACGGATACAATATCGAGGTAAAATGCGGCATCATGTGAGCAGGAAGGGGCTGATGTGGTCCAGGTAGACCTGTTACTGGATTCTTCGTTAATTCTAAAATAGCAACCACATGAAACAGAGAATTAGTTTTTGTTAAAGATTTTATATAATATTTACTGGATGTTAAATGTAAAAAAATTCCCGAATTTCCCTTTACCTTTTATCTAATTAATAATTTTATTTTATCGTTTGCATATCTTAATATTTTCTTACAAAGAATATTAACATTTTAGTTTATTCTAAAAAGACATTGGATTTTCTTTATAAAAATAGTTATATGTCAATATATATTATGTACATAAATATATGTTATATTGATTGCTAATTTAAATATGATTACCGACAACTCGTGATGATAAAAGCAACATTATCAACGTTTGTCTAAGAATATAATTAAATTTATAGATAAAATATCACAAAATTTCCCGAATTACAACAAATTTCATGATGTTCCTAAAAAAGAAAAAAGAAAAAATGTTCTGGAAATTACAGGTTTTCTATATTTTTCCAGGATGATTTGAACACTTTATAATATATCTTTGCTCACCTCTGATCAATTGCTGTTGCAAGGCAGCCGCAGCAGCTGCATGATGCGGACCGAACTTTCCGCTTTCAGCCAGTTTCACCAAGGGATGCTCCTGCAGCTTTGGCGCGGGAGGCGTCGGTGTCAACGTGGGTGCCGGTGGTACCTGCGGCGGAGGTGCAGGCGGTGTAGCTACTCTTCTTGTGGGAGTTGCTGCCTTAGGAACTGGTTTTGGAGCGGGAGGATCTGGACTTGGACATGCCGCTTGTGCTAACCTTTGCTCTATTTCCTGCTCTTGCTGTAGCGCTTTCACGAAAGCAGTTTTTAATCTATAATCCCATGTAAAATTTGTTAAAAGCGAGAAATATCGTAGTATCGTAGTATCTCAATGTTTCATTCTTTATATTTATCACATAAACATTAAAGTTTCAATTATTCTATCTAAATAATGTAACAAATAATATGTTAATTAAATGTTAAATCTTCTATATAGAACGGTTAATTTATTAATCATTATTTATTAAAAGATTAACGAAATGAAATCTTACTATTCTTACACACATTATTAATATTTTAATATAGATAAAAACCCACCGATTAGTATGCTCTGCTTTCAGTGCTTTCTTGACATTGGTTGTAACACAGTGTTCACATATGACTCTCGGATCACGACCCGCTGATGGTCGCTGGAAAGTTGCATGTTGTCCTCTGGGACTGTCTTTCTTACCACCAGGCATGGGTTTCTCCCATTTCCATACAGGTGTGAAATCTGTTTTGCATTGTGAGCACTCAAATGGTTCGGGAGGTGGTGGTATAGCCGGTTCCCTCGTTATAAAATCGACTACATGTTCCAAACCGACCAGATAAATGAATTCCGTATTGGAAGGATTCGGTACAAAGTGCATCTCTGGAGGTGGCGGTTTCGGCGGTGGTATTTGTAACAGTGTTTTCTCGAGCTGTTTCCTCAGAGCCATTTTGGCAGCTGCTTGACGTTGAGCAGGTGTTTCTTCCCGCGCTGTTCTATCCTGTGTTACCGAAAATATAAAATTCTTCATCATTTGTTGTAACTGTAAAACATATTTTATACAATTAATCTTCCAATGACACAAAAACAAAACATTTTAATGAAATGGGAAAAGTACAATATATATAATAAAAATTAAAATAACTTAACTAATTCGTTTTTATGTGCATACGTTTGTAAGTAATATAAGTAAATATTTATTTAATAGATGCATGCAAATTAGAATTTAAATATTATATGATACTTCTGATTTGTTTAATATTTATCCCTCTTTTGATATATTTATATAAATATGTATTTAAAAAATAAGTACCATGTTAGTAAAAGTTCAGCAATATTGGATGTTAACTTGTATAATGCGTTGAAGACTAACACTAAACTTTCTTGTATATATAAATTTATTATTAAAATAAATTATTATTAGAAACAAAAAGCATAAAGAATAAAAGCTTAAAACATCATAATCAACATGAAGAAAAAAAATAGATTAATAGCCTTTAAAGAATACAAACAGAGAGAATATTACACATTGATCGACGAATGAATATACCTGTTCCGAATTCACAGGTGTGCTTAAGGATGCGGTGGTTTTATTTTCTTGCGATCCAGCAAGCAGCTTTGTGTTTAAAAAAACACAACAATATATTACATATGTTGTTTTCATGATTAGAGAATTACTTAACACTTTCACGGCTGTGTTCAGTGTTCTGCGTTCGCACAACAATCGCTCGTAATTGTATTACATTAGCGATTATTAGCAGTGAAAGTGTTAGTTCTTAAAATTATTGAATAATTATATGAATAATTGAAAATTATTGAAAGGAGATGTCGAATAACTCTCTAGCTCACTCTTAACGTTCACATAAAACTAACGTTACAACTATGACTTATAACATAAATAATAAAATGTGATTTGTTATACCTTACTTACTTGATGCGCTGGCGCCGGTGTTGGATCCTTTGTAGATCTCTCTGTTCTATCTGTCGGCGCATGATAACTGGAAACAGTTGCTGCTGGTACAGTAGGTGGTCTTCCTCTAGGATGAGGTGGTTGTGGTATCACCATATTCGGAGGCATCCCTGTACTCGGAATGGTATTTCGACCAGCGGTAGGAGGTAGTACCATGCCAGGTGGTGGAGCGTGTAAACTACTACTTCTGCTTGGTGCGGGCTGACCCTTAAGCAAAGGCGGGGGCGCTTTCCCTGCTCTGTGATAAGAAAAATAGCATTGACTTCGACTTAACATAATATATATAAAAGTTACATCTCGGTAAACGATATTATTGCGAGATTTTACCTGTGGGGTACCTGCTGTGTCGCTACTGGCGGTGGTAATTTATTGAGAACCTTCGGTGCTGCCGCGATGTTCTCTTTCAGTTGCTGAGATTGACGCAACTTTTTTAGAAGCACTAATTTCATTTCTTCCGATTTGAGCTCTTCTTTATATTTTCTGAGCATTCTTTCACGTTCAGCCAGCTCGTCGGACGACAATTCTTTGATTGGGACCAACGGGGGCATGTCGCCTATTTAAACATTCAACATAATAAGCCTCAATGCGACATCAAAGTAAACACATTCATAAATTAGTCTCTATTTTTAATACTAAAATAAAAAAAGATTTATAAACAACCTTCATCGCTGTCCGATGCGTTTCCATTTAAATAGCCGTTCATCCTAGGTTCATCGGGACTCTCGGCGTAGCTCCTCTCGATTCTAGGTCTAAGATTACGACGAGGTTTACGTTCATCTCCATGCGATCGTTTAGGAGCCAAAATGCCCCGAGTTGCATTCTGTATATTACGTGCTTCTGGCATGTTGTTTTCCAAATTGGAACCGGTGGAAAAGTGAACCCCTAAGTCTAACGGGATGTCACCAGAATTCACAGAAAGGGATGGGGAATTGCGCCTACCACTACTGCTGAAAAAAGAAAAACAATATTACGAATTAAGGAACCTCTAGCATAAACATTTGTTATGGTAAGGTATAAGTAAGACTCGGTTTTACTGTTTTAAATATATTCATGTATGTCAAGCTAAGAAGTAACAACAACCTACTTCTCCGTCCATCACATAGTGATAAGAACCTAATACTGATAAGGAATTTGCCTGGCAATTATTATCATTAATTATCATTGTATATATTGTCCTCTATTTTAACATTTGGAATTGTACAATATTATACGAGATTACTATGACGAATATAACAAACATTAGTTGTTCAATGTTTACTCATTTTACTTTTCATTTTTCAAGTGTAGAAAGAAGTACAATAATAAATCTCAGATATATGGCACTTTACCTGATGCTCAAATCCACCACTGAATCCCCATCCACATCCATGGCCTCCATTCTTTCGACCGTAGTCACTCTGCAATTATAAGGCACGTGTAAAGTCAATCGCAAAACACGGAGCAAAACACGGAAAACACATCCGCAGGAGAACGGAGGGAAAAATATCGTAAATATCGCGTCGTGTCGTGTTTGAAAACGCGCAAGAAAGCGGCTACGACGTTGATCCCGCGCGTGCAATGAAGCAACTCGCGGCGTGAGGGCACGCACCGGTCTACGCTACGCTACACTACGCGACACGCACTCACGGTACTCACTCATGCATGTGTACCACACACACACACACACACACACAC